TTTCATATGATTTCTGATTGATAGACCAATTTGACAGTCGAATATTGTTAAATATTGGCAAAAGTCTTATTGTTGCAAAATTTGTTGATTCACAAAACCAAGATCACCTGTAACGAACAATTTTAGGCATTTTTGCGTCTGCATTCATAATGTCAATGGATGGCCGCGAACAAATTTATGGTATGCCAATAGCAATGATGACAAGCCTTAATAGTAGTACGTCAACATTTCATGATCCAAGGATGTCTACTTTTTCACCACTACAAGGATCAGGACCCGAGAATAATACATGGGTCAAAATATCCTCCTCTAGGATTTGGTGCTCAATTACCTACTATAACAACAAATTTTGCAGTGGTGTTTCGACAACACACGGATGACAATAACCATGAAATGGTTGTTGTTTTGGCCCAACAAATGGGCATGATTTCAATCCATTGATTCAGAATGCTACTGAAACAAATCAACAGAATGCACAAACATATCAATAATTGGCAGCGTAGATGACGCGAATTATAGACTTTTTTGGTACCCCTCGAGCCCCAGTTCAACTTCCTCAAAGAGAGTGGATAAGAGAAAACTAGGGGTTTGTTCTTGAAGAAAATCAAACACTCAATAAAGTGCAACCAGGATCACATAACATTGGCGAAGGTAACCAACAACAGAGGATCAAAACAATCCAGGGTCGAACAAGCCATACCAAGGGAAGATCAGGCACTAAGGATAGTTATGGTTAATTGAAATAAAAGATGCCAACGAAGTCCTTCGACGAGTTCAACAAGATGAATACCCAAGAGAAAATAATTTGACAGTCATGGTCGAAAGAATAATGGCTCAAAACGAGGTGAATATTGGTCTTCGAAGGCCAAAACCATACGTCCCCTTTGTTTGAATACGTTTTATAGACATAACTACCTAGGGGATGGAAAGTCCTAAAGTTTACAAAACTCTCTGGTGACACCAATGAATCTAATATTGAACATAAACCAAGTACCTTATGAAACAACCGACTGAACCATCATCAAATATAAAATCAATGAAGTCGCCACCAAACGTATTTTATCCCGCCAAAAGGGAAAGGTAAACATTGAGAAAACCTGTAGAGGTGAAATCACGGTCTTACAAATGAGAGATCGAGTAAGGGAGTAAGGGAGTCGGTTACGCAAGGAGAAGGTATTAGCACCCCGCACGTCTGTAGTACTCTATGGTATCCACTCTTGTTGTTATAAACAAAGGGAGTGTAAAATCTATGTCTAAGGCTTAAAGCTGAAAAGAGAATGCATGCAAAGAAAAAGGAAAAGAAAATGTGGGGAAAAGAAAGGAATATTTACAAAGATATGCTCGATTAGGCCCCACAAAATCCTCTGCCTACGTATCCTTTTTAAGGAATTAGAGCAGCCGTAGTTCGGCTCATATATTTTGGTTAGTTTGTGTTTTTTAGTTAAGACAAAAGCAACAGTCAAGATGGCAAAACATTAAATAAAATGACAAAACATCAACTACGATGATAGAACAACTAAAGGGGACGACAATACATCACATGGCAACAAAACTGGGATAAGATGATAAAACATCAGCATGATAACAAAATATCAGACAAGACGATAAAACATCACACCTAACAATGATATTGAGAATCAAAGTAGGATAACAAACATATGTGATGGCGAAACATCGTTAACAAACATATGCGATGGCGAAACATCGGTAAAAAGATAGCAAGATAACATGGAAAAGATGACGAGACATCCATGATTCAGATGATAAAACATCACACCTAATATTGATATTGAATATCAAAGAAGGATAACAAACATATTCCATGGCGAAACATCGGCAACAAACATATGTGATGATGAAACATCGGCTAAATATAGTAAGATAACATGGCAAAGTTAGTGAAACATCAATCATTCAGACGATAAAACATCACACCTAATATAGATATTGAAGATCAAAGCAGGATAACAAACATATGCGATGGCAAAACATCGGCTAAAGGATAGTAAAATATCATGGCAAAAATGGTGAAACATCAATAATTCAGATGATAAAACATCACACCTAAAAATGATATTGAGAATTAAAGTAGGATAACAAACACATGGGATGGCGAAACATCGGCAACAAACATATGCGATGGTGAAACATCGGCTAAGAGACATAAAGGTAACATGGCAAAGATTGTAAGATGTCATCTCAACAAGGTTTAAGACAAAGCCAAAATATGCACAAACAATTAAGATTGGTTTGTATCTTTTATCTTGAAGAAATATTTAAGTTCATCAAGATGATTTATGATTTGCCAAGAAGAAGTTTTAGTTTTAAGATGCAATATGCAAAGAAAGGAAAAATAACTAAGGGAGACTATCCTAGCACTACCCCTAATGTTATCATACAATGATTTACCCTAGATTGAGGATGAAATAAGGAAGTTTATATCCTATGTTAGCATGCATGGGTAAATATCCTAATGTCTAGCTCGAAGACTAACCCTACACGAGCAATCCTAGGGAGCATGGTAAATACCAAACAAGTGTGTAAACAAATGCTTTGGAAAAAGCACACAATTGGGTATACTGACTCAGGGATGAGGGTATAAAGAGAAAATGATTTAGTTAAAAGGATCGGATCACCTGAAGCAAACAAGCGGGAGACGAATGAAATAAGAAAAATGTGACGTTCAAAGCGACTGAGCACCTAAGTAAAATATAGAAGATCAAGGTAAGTGACATCAGACAATATGAACGATCACAGAGTGTCAACATCGGTCAATGCGAACTCCTGACAAAGCGTGGGGGTTTGATTACAATACCCTTCCCCACTTGACGGACTCGATACATATGATATGCATGACTCTGAAGCATCGACGTACTACGTGAGCTAAGGATGACACAAACTGGAATGTGCGGGGGTCGATAATGGACCCTCCCTGCTCGCCTCCTTTTGAGGACTTATTACTTTTAATATAATGCGGGCACAAATATAAACACATGTGCATAATACCTACTCCAAAGGTAGGATTTTAAACAAACACAATTAGCACACCGACATCATTACCTTAAACAGGTCTTTTGATAAACCAGGAGGACTGCTGACATATATCTGCAACGGAGGTCCCATCATGCAATAGAAAGAAATAAAGGGCGGAAATAATAAAAAGGAAGTAGTGGAATACCAAATGGATAACTGTCTGTAGCGGCTAAGCAATAAAAATAAACCCAGATAACTTAGAGTAAGCTAGCATTAGTAACAAATCAAGTCACAATCACGCCATCAAACATAAGCATTAAGGCTTCAAATATGAACATGTCCACAGATAGTGTATAGAAGACACAACCACATATATGTCCTACAAGAGAATAACAGATATACAAAGCACACAAATGGTACAAGCATAACAAACTGTGTCCCACAAATAAAGTGGAACACAAATGCATTTTTAGTCTATCATTTTTATTATTTCTTTTTGTTCTTTTCCATTACACATCAAATGTGATTATTTGGATAATTTTCCATTTAGTTAAACTATGTTTCTTTATGGGGAGAAGAAAATATGAGATTTCTTGATGAAGGAAATGAAGTTCAACTTACATTGAATCAACATTCAGGTAAGATATTCATACAAATTATTTAGATATACATAAATTATAAAATTATTGATTTTGCCTTATAGGTTCTGGATTTACGTTGAGGCAACAATATGGTTATGGAGTGTTCAATATGAAAATTAGAATGCCTCAAAAGGATTCTACAGCTGTGATCACGACCTTCTTATGTATTATATATATATATATATTATATATATATATTATATATATTATATAATATATATATATATATATATATATATATATATATATATATATATATATATATATATATATATATATATATATATATATATATATATATATATATATATATATATATATATATATATATAATATTATATATATATATATATATATATATATATATTGTGATTTTAATTTTAGTGTCGTTTTAAAATTTAAGTAATTTATCTCATTTTGATTTATTGCAGTTGACTTCAGATTATGGACCTACTCGAGATGAAATAGATTTTGAATTCTTAGGTGGAAATAATGAACGACCTTATATATTGCACACAAACATTTATACTAATGGTTATGGTCATAGGGAGCAACAAATTCATCTTTGGTTTGATCCAACTCTTGATTTTCATAATTACACGCTTCATTGGAATGAAAAACAGTTAGTGTAAGTAACCTTAATTATTATAACTCTTCTTCTCTCTTTTTCTTACCTTATAGTATTATTACTAAGAATAACTTTCATATGTGTTAGATTTTTTGTGGATGAAATTCCACTACAACATTTAGGCTCTCCACCAACAATTGAAAAACGTTGCCAGAACTCTGAAAATCATTGTCTAAAACAATAGGGGACGTTTTCTAGGCGTCTCCTGTGCGAGCGTTGCCTATTGTTTGAGGCGACGTTTTTTTTATGTTTTTTAGGAACGCTTTTGAAAAACGTGGCCTATAGTAAAGGAATAGGGGACGATTATTTACGGCCTCTGAGACAATGTTTTTTAAGCGTTGCGTTGCCAAATTCGGCTACAATTAACAATCGTTGCCTTAAACCTGATCAGGAAGATCGTTTTTGAAGTGTAGCCATAGCTTATAGGTTGTTGTTTTATAGTGTCCATATAAAATATACAATTTTGCAATTATTATCAAAATAATATAGTCAATAATAATTGGCTTCAAAAATAATATTGATTATATAACTTAAACCATACATCCATAAAAGTTGTAATATAATAAAATCGAGTTCAAACTTTAATTCAAGATATGGTATATAGAGTACACAAAATGCCTAACGTAACAATATTACTTTTAATACTTTGAAGTATGACCCTAGTAAAATAACTAAAAACATAGTTCAGCAAAAGAACAAAAATCATATTTCAAGTTTAATGCTTTCAACTACAAGCCAAAAAAAAGACATCATCCAACTCATTCAAGTTTGTCTTCTAGGAGTAAAGCATCCAGATCGTCCTCTTGAAATTCGTTAGATATGTCATCCTCCATAAATTCTTCATCTATGTCGTCCTCTTGAAATTCACCATCTATATCCTCCTCTTGAAATTCATCATCTAGATCTATGTCGTCCTCTTGAAATTCGTCATCTACGTCGTCCTCTTGAATTTTATCATTTAGGTCGTCCTCTTGAATTTTATCATTTATGTCGTCCTCTTGAATTTCATCATTTATATCGTCCTTTTCAACATCTTCATTGATACATTGCTGCATAAGAAAATAAAATAAAACACATTAACCATAAGTATTTTTGGTCCAAAGGACAATTAAGACATCAACAAGAATTAAACCTCGCACAAATAAAAACTAAACCAATGAGCAAAACACATTGTTTATATTCTTCACATCTCATGGATGTGAATTAATTATGAAGGTTTTTAATGGATGTGAATTTTCGTTCTAAACTGTAATAGGTGACATGAGCTTACTAGCAAATAAATCAATTATGAAAACCATTCTGTTTTTGGCTCACTATTCAGGACTTACAATATCCTTTAACTGTATGTATGTATGTATGTATAACTTTTGCTATCCTTTTATGTTTATTTTTTGGAGTAAATGAACTCTGATGAACACTCTTACTTGTTGTATCTTCTTTGGTGTTCAGTATCATATGGATAAATTTACAGCATACATAGTGAGTGTTATCAAACAAGGGGGTCCCATAATCTTATCCCAGGCAATTATGTTTGTGAAATATCAATGAAAGCTCGCACAAATAAAACAGTTTCAGCCACTTCTAGGTGTTGTCACTACTTAAAAAATTTCAACCACTTACTTTATTCTAGGTGTTGTCACTACTTGCAAATTTTTGCATACATTAACAATCATTTTGATACTATAACATAATTAGAAAAATATAAATCAATAATATTGGTATATATGGTTACCTTTCCATGACATGGAGCATGAGTTGATGTAGATGAATGCATTTGTGGTCTTATATCCTTTGGGGAACTATTAGCATCTCCATGAGACAATCCTAACAAATCTTCAATTGACTCTATATTAATTTGAGGATTGCATTGTTGTATTACGGTCTTAAAAGCATTTTGCAATCTATCAATCTTATCTTGAAACTCGTCCCTTAATGTAGAGACCTCTTCACCGTGGGCTTGTTTCAAAGCATTAATCTCTGCCTTTCTCTTTAAGGAAGTTTTAGTTATGTTTCTCCCATAACAGCATACCCTTCCTGGACACTCCTTTCCAAAAAAAACTTTAAAAGCTTCTGTATCACTTTCCTCCTTTTCAACCATTTCTTGAAGTTGGGACTAGCATAAATTACAAAAAAAAAATATTAGCTACTATTATAGACAATGTTGGCCGATTATATTAAGCAAACGTATTATATAAACAATGTTACATACAATTACTTTTCCAGTTTCTACATCCAGTTCCTTTCCTTTATTTCCTTTTCAAGTTTCAACAAACATTTCTGATTGAGTGGGCTCTCTTTTTTCCTTTTCACGCTGCACAAATCAAAATAATTCCATAACAAATTATGTGAATTAAAATTCCTATTCACGAGTCAAAGAAAAGTTTTTCACGAATACTTTAATTGAACAAAGAAACATTCATACAAGGAATAATTTATTGAGAACAAAAGAAAGTTACCACTTTTTCACGAGTCAAAGCAAAGTTTTTGGGACCCATTCGATGCATCCACTTTAGTTGAGCTCTATTTCTAGTGTTATTTTCACTGATTGCCTACATTTAAATTTGACAGAATTATTATAATAAATATTACTTAATTATGGCATACATAGAAAGGTGTAAATTCACACACATACATAAAAAAATTATTAATCTTACTTGTATAGTTTCCTTACTCCAATAAGCACAAAGACTCTTAAACTGGGCTATTGGCACGTTTGGCAGACGATTTTTGAGTCTCTCGGTCATGTTGGAATACTTCAAAAAATGATTCTTCTTAATTTTGTGCTTATATCTTCTCCATGCCTCTCTAACAGTGGTCTCAATCCAATCTCGTGCTTCAACCGGCAAGATAAACTTCCGCTACATAAATTATAAGATAAGACAAGATCAAGAAATGAAACACTTTTTTTTAATAATTAGACTTTCAAATTCATAGATAAAAACATACATTAGTATATCTCCATAAACGGTTTTTATTATCATCTGGCATTCTTGACCAATTGGTGTAACATAGAGGACAAAATGTTGAGTTCCTAGCCAATGTTCCCAAGAAGAGGCTCAAGTCAGATACTACTTTTTCACTAGGACCAATTGGCTGAAAAATCCTTATTAAAGGTCACTTCTACTCGCTCTTCCAAAGTTCTTGCATGAATCTTTTTGCACAAAGTTTTCCCACGAGTTTTTCTTTGGGATGTTTCTATAAAGTAATAACACAACAACATGATATCACATGTTTGCTACCAATATGTAAATAATACATGAAATCATTATTATGAAATATGAAACTAATTACCTTTTTCTTCATCTCTATTTGTGATTGCATCTTCTTCGTTGACTTTTTCCCGATTTTGAACACTTTCTTGTCGAGTTCCATTTTTTGATTGATTTTGATTAGAGCTACGGTTAACACTGCTGCCCGGTTTTTCACCATTGATTGACTTGGTTGCATCCGTTTCCTTTGACTTGTGAAGATCTACATAATCATCAATCAACATTGATGGGCATTTTGGCACCCTGTTTAGCTTTTGAGAGCATTCGGCTTTTGACATCATTGTCTCCAAAGATAGAGTAGATTTCTCTGGTTTCTTATTTTTGGAAGAAATAAGTATTCTCCTTGCAACTGGTTTTTCCACCTTTTGAATTTTATCTCTATTGTTCTCTAGTAGATTCTCATGAATTCTTTTTTTTAGCATTCCTGGTTTCAATATAATTTTCTCGTCATAATAATGTCATGAAAAGAAATATATAAATTTAAAGTATATGCAGGGATATTAACTACCTTGTGAAACTTCTTTGTTTCCATGTGCAAGAACTTCCTTAGCTTGTGGTTGCAAAAGCTTAGGTCTCTCTGCTTTCTTCATAGCAATGTGGTTGTCCAATTTTCCATCAACCTTTTGAATTCTTTCTCTATTCACTGTAGCTTTCACTTGAGTTATTTTCTTTGGTGTTTCTAATTTTAGTAAAAATTCACCAAAAGATATTAGGAATAATTTCATGTAATATATGCATAATAGAAAATTTTAAAAATCACTTACCTTGTACAACTTCTTTGTCACCATGTGCATGATCTTTCATTACTTTTGGTTGCGAGAGTTTGTCTATCTCCATTTTCTTTGCAATAGTCTCTTTGTCCAAATTGTGATCAACCTTTTGAACTCTTTCTTGTTGAGTTCCTTTTTTTGGTGTTTCTAATTTTTGTAAAAATTCATTAAAAAACAATAGGAATAATATATATAAAGGAATTCCAAAACATAACTTTAACATACATCATTTTATATAAAATCAAATGAAACAAGAAAATGATTTACCGTCCACAACTTCTATAATTTTCTGAACCCTTTCTCTATTGTTTCCCTGTAGCATCTCATGTAACTTGTCAATTTTTTATTTCTTAACATGTTGTAGCACTTTCTTTGTCAATTCTGCACTTGATCTGACTTGAAGAGGAAAATCAAATCTTTTAGTAGGACTTCGACCACTCCTCCTATGTGATCCACCATCTTTTACACTTCTTACATTGTCCATTATGGCCAACAACTATGATCTACAAAGGGAGAAAATTACATAATTAAATAATGAAAAATTGAGTATAAATTGACATTATGCATAACCATAAATTAACAGTATATTTGAATCTAGTTTGTTATGGTTTAAGTAAAAAAATGACAGCATGCATAACCATAAATTAAACTTTGAATCATAATCAGTACTAGAAACACATTGCCAATGCTACCTAATCAGTACTAGAATCATAATCGGTTTCATCGTCACTTCCATAACTCGTGTCACTATGATCACTCTCTATTGCTTTTTGGTTGTGAAGTTCTGACAAAGGAATTTCAAAGATATCATCCGGAAACTATTTCCTAACCAAATCCACTTCACAATCATCCCTTAATGTATTAAGATTTGTTGAAATATCATATTCTTTGGCATCTGTACTTAAAGATTCTCCCATGTCAAATGATTCCCTTGGAAGTGCATTTAGAACATAGTGTTTGTTTTTGTTTAAAGGATCTTCAATAAAGAAGCATTGTTGAACTTGAGATGCCAACACAAATGGATCATTTTTGTAGCATTTTTTGTTAAAGTAAACCAACGGCGATCCATATTTATCCTTTTCATCCACAAACCAATCACATTTGAACAATACATATTTTTCATGAACATAATAATCTAACTCTATAATATCTTTTATTTCCCCATAGTAAGTCACACAAATATTTTTGGGATTTTCATCCTTCGCATTTCTAAGAACTTGAGTCACCGCTTCTAATGTCACACCACTATTTTGTGTTTTAAGCCTTGCTTCACGATTTGTTGTATGAAACCTGTATCCATTAATAACATAACCAGAATACCTTCTAACAACATCATTTGGTCCCCTAGACAACACCTTCAACCATTCAGTAACTTTCTCATCCATGAGACGTGTTTCAAACCATTGAATAAAATCTTCTCTTTGATTGTTAGCTTTTCTGGACTTCCTTTTTTTTAGAGGATTATGATCATTAACCTCATGCTCTCTACAAAATAAATAACTAATATTTTAATACAAAAGAAAAAGAAAACTTATAGTGAGAATGAAATTTTATATCAAGTAGATGAGTTTACCTAATGTACTCTTGCACTTCATCGCAATTGAATAAAATGTAGCCGTGAGCTTGGTTTAGAGACTTATGATCAAGGGAAATTAGTTTCTTTCCCCCGATTGGATGACCTATGTTTAGAGTATCATCGCTATTTTGTGTCATTCTATTCATCCTTGTGTCTACAACACTAGACAAATATCTTGAACAAAATGTTAGAGATTCTTTAACTAAGTATGCTTTAGAGATAGAACCCTCTGGACGACTCCTATTACGAACAAAAGATTTTAAATCACCCAAATATCTTTCCATATAATACATCCATCGAAATTGAACCGGTCCACCCAATCTGACTTCATTTGCCAGGTGAATTGGTAAGTGAACCATTATGTCAAAGAAACTCGGAGGGAAGATACGCTCGAATTGGAAAAGTGTTTCAGCAATTTCTACTTCCAAGTAATCCAATGATTTCACATCTATAACCTTCTAGCATAAACATCGAAAAAATGAACAAAGTCGAAGCAAAGGGATAACAATTTGATTAGGGCTTATCCCTCTTATTGCTACTTGCAACAAGTAATGCAATATAATATGAGCATCATGACTCTTGTATCCAGAAACTTTTCCTTCATTAACTTGAACACATCGAGAAATATTGGATGCAAGACCATCAGGAAGTTTTACTGTCTTTAAAACATTACAAAAAATAGTTTTCTCTTGCTTTGTTAGGGAGAAACATGCCTTAGGGATTTGAGTTTTCTTACCATCACTTGTTTCCTTCAAATGGAGTTTTTTTCTAATCCCCATGTGTTGTAGGTCCAAACGAGCTTTTGCATGATCCATTTTCTTCCCTTCAATATCTAAGAGAGTCCCCATTATATTATCACAAATGTTCTTTTCTGTATGCATAACATCTACATTATGGCGTAAAGAATTATCCTTCCAATATGGTAATTGCCAAAAGATAGACTTTTTCTTCCATGGACCAGGCCTTTTTTTATGATATTTTTGCCCCACTACGTCAGGAATCTTTTCTAAGTCTTTTAAAATCATTGTTGAATCTAACAAGGAGGGTGCAGACCTATATTCTGGCTTTCCATCAAAAGAACGTGAATTTGATCTCCAACTATGATTTGAATCCAAAAAGACTCGATGACCCATATAACACATCTTTCGACTATGTTTTAAGTATCTTGAAGAAGTTTTATGATTACAAGAAGGACAAGCAAACATCCCTTTAGTACTCCAACCGGATAACATAGCATATGCAGGGAAGTCATTCACAGTCCACATAAGAGCTGCACGCATTTGAAATGATTGATTTTTTGAAATATCATATGTTTCTACACCGACTTCCCACAATATCTTAAGCTCCTCAATAAGTGGCTGCAAATACACATCAATTTCATTTCTGGGTGACTTTGGTCCAGGAATAAGTAACGACATCTAACAATTTTCAGCCTTCATGCATAAATTTGGCGGATAGTTATATACTGTTAATACAACAGGCCATGTGCTATGTGAAAGACTCATGGTCCTAAATGGATTAAACCCATCACTTGCCAACCCAAGTCTGATGTTACGAGTTTCACGAGCAAAATCTGAATGTTTGGCATCAAAGTCTTTCCATGCTTGTGCATCAGCTGGATGCCTTAACTTCCCATCCCTTGAACGATGGTCTGCGTGCCACCTCAATGTATCAGCTGTCTATAAACACATAAAAAGTCTTTTTAATCTTGGAATCAATGGAAAATGTCTTAGAACTTTGGCGGGAACCTTATGAGCTTTTATAGATTCTTCAAGATCATTAGCAACTTCAGGATATTCAATCCACCTTGACGTGCCACAAATATGACATGAATCATCTTTCTCGTGATCTTTCCAAAACAACATGCAGTTGTTCGGACATGCGTCAATCTTTTTATAGTCTAAGCCCAAATCTTTTATCATAGATTTTGTTTTATTGAAAGAGACAGGGATGTTCAAATCTGGCATAGCCTCTTTTAACAACTCTACGAGAGCAGTGAATGATGCATTACTCCATCCATGGAGACATTTCAACAAATAAATTCGAATAATGAATGATAACGAGGAAAACTTTTCACAACTAGGATACAACTCTTGATTTGCATCATTAACTAGTTTATAAAATTTCTTTGCATCTTCATTTATCCCTTCATGTACTCCACCTCCTTCAGCCACATCTTTAAATGTCTCAAATAGTAAGCCATTGATATCATCATGAGATGATGTTTCATCATCACTATCACCATCAAGATCTATAAGACTCTCATCTTCACCATGATAAATCCATTAAGTGTATCCCTTTACAAATCCTTTACTACATAAATGGTCATACACTACATCTCTTACTTCCCAACTATCATTGCAACATACATAA